AATGTAGTCTGCCCAAGGCTTGCACCAGTGACCCGCAGCCTGGGGGAAGTGGTGACCATGAAGTGCTCGTGGCTTGCTGGGGTGAGGCTGTCTCAGCAGCACAATTGAAGATGCCACTCTGCATGTCAGCAGCTGGTAACTAGATGCAGCTCTTGGACATGCCGGTTGGGGTCCTACCGGCTCCCCGGAGCACAACGGAGTGCTTTGTCCCTGCCTGCGCAGGGGGCCTTTCTGGTACCTGGGGAGGCAGCTGGGTCTGTTCCAGTTGTAGGGATAGCTCCACAAGATGCTGGGGCTGACTGCAGAGCAAAGATAAGCAGACCTAGAAGTAACTAAGGAGGAAAGGCAGGCCATCCAAGCTAAAGGTGGCTTGAGGATGGATCTGTGTATTCAGTCCTCCCTTCCCCCCTCTGTTCTTTCTGCTGAAGGAATCGCTCTCCGTAAGGATGGTGGGCAAGATAGGAAATTTGAATTCTGAGGGTAATTGGGAGAGACAGTGGAGGACTTGACAAGGAGAGTGAAGAGCTGATGGGGTGTTTATCTGCCCCATTTATTTCTTTGATTTTTAGGTAGCGCTGGTCTTGTGCTGCAGCAAGGGAGAGGCTCTTCACTTCTGGATGTTTCACCTGGTCTCTGGAAGGTGGCAGGCACAAATTTCTCTTCTAGCTGTTTTCTGGGGCAGATGTTGAATACGGCAGCACGAGGCTGGCTGCAGTCAGCTGGCGATGTCCGTCTCGTCCCTACGGGCAGGCGAGCAGGAGATGTTTGCAGTGGTGTGGCCAGACTCCTTTCCAACTGTGAGCTAATGCAGCTCCAGAAACAACTGCGTCTCTTCCAGTAAAAGCCTCCCTTGCTCTGCTTTCCTTGCCCAGTGTTGGATGTCTCCATTCACTCTTCCTCAGCTTCCTCCTTGACAGATGTAGTATTTTGAGAGATAACGGATCTTCCGAAAGCCCTCGGAGAAACTTGCTCCCTACAGGGAAGTGCTCTGGCTTGGCCTGCCTGGTTGCAATGCTCTTGGGACAACCCTATGCAGTCTTTTGTGGTGCTGGTCTCCTCTTCCAGATGGCTCCGGGAGCCCCCCGTTTGCAAAGTCTCTCTACTCCCTGGCAAAAACAAGGTGCTGAGACACTTTGAGGGATGTGAAGAGGAAACTGCCTTGGCAGGTGCCACTGTCCTAAAGAGCATGTCCTCTTGGCTAGCTGCTGCCTCCCATCTGGTTCTTCCAGTGCTTTCTGCTGGTTTCAGAAACATCCCCCTAGTGAGGGGGTGTTCCTGCCTCATCTCATCAAGCCCTTAATCTTTCTGTGGGCTGAAAGACCTGGCAGGTCATTCCCTCACCCTGCCAGCATGTCAGAGCCTTGGCTTGTACCCAGGATCATAGCATCTGCATGAGCTCCTGCCAGCCTCCAGGCTGAGCCCCTCTGGCTGCAGGGCTGTGCTACTGGAAGGTGGGGCCACTGTGAGTCAGGCTGGTTGGGTTTGCATGTACGAGCGTCGGAGACCTACAGGAGGAAGGTGAGGAGAGGTGGTCCATCAGAAGTGGAGGTTTATTAGTGCCAGAGCTATGAACAGTGGGTGTTTTAGGAGAAAAACAGGATTTCTGTTGAAACTGGAGGTGCTGGAGGCTCGGGGTGAGGTGTGCATGTGGGGCAGAAGCTGGCTCAGACCCCCTGAGGAGGGGATGAAGAGCCACCAGGCTTGGGGGAGCATGTGTGCAGCTGCTGTGCCTGCTTACGTAAAGCCGTGCTGAACCCGGCGTGGGATGGAGGCAGCTCTTGGGGTTAAGCGCTCGCAGCCTTGTGAACGCAGGGGGAGTTTCCTGTTACTGCTGGGCAGGAGGAAACTACTTCCAGCTGTCGAGGGGAGGGGTGCTGGAGTGGGAGTCACTGGCCAGGGAGGAGGACTGCTGGCTGCTGAAGAGATGTGGCTCTGCTGAGCAAGCACCTCCTGGTGACAGGGCTGGGGGGGAACAAGTAACCCTGGTCCTTGCACCGGCAGCTGCTGTGATGACCCCATAAGGTGTCAGTGATGCTGCTGCCTGCACCGGGCTGCGAGCCTTCCTGGCCTGAGTCAGTGCAACCATGCCCTAGAGCAGCGTGGTGGCCCCAGGCTGGGGAGCAAAGGTGCAGCTGAGCTGGGTCCCTTCCACAGGCTAACAGAGAAGTGAAGTTCATGGTGTGCGTGGCACCAAGATAGCACTTTGGTCATGGCACTAGATGAGACCCCTCACTGGGGAAGAGGGTCTTGGTAATGTCCATGACCTCAGTTCCCTCTACCTGAGGCTGGACTGACCGGGATGCACCTGGCTGCTGTGTCATGGAGCAAGCTACGGGGCCAGGTGGGAGCTGAGTTGGTAGCATCCACCTCATGCCTCATGAAGGTGTTTGGCAAGGAGTCTGACCAGCCCAGAGTGCCTGGCTACAGACAGCTGCCTCGAGCATGGAGCTGGTGCCTGAACAGGAGCCTGGGATCCAGCAGATCTAACTTAGCTGATGAGAGGCTCCTGCTAGGACAGAGCCTCTGCAAACTTGCAGGCCTCCTCCCTGTAGGAAGCGTCACAAGAGGAGGGACTTGAACAGCCCCATGAGCTCAGGGACCTCAGTTACGGGCATCACAGCCCTTGTGATGGTGGAGGGAGGACTTGGCCATCACAGGCAGCTGCGTGTTCTGGGAGCTGCGTGGTTGTTGTCTCCTCCAGTTCCTGTAAGGAGGCTGCAGTGTCAAGGTCTTGGCCATTTGCTGCATGTCTCTGTATAAAGGAATGAATGCAAAGCCTCTGGCTTTGCACCTCCATCGGGTGTCAGACTTCTGCTTCTTACAGGGGTAAAGGGAGTAGGGTTTGAAGAGACCCACTGAGGATGTACCTAGCTTGGAGAGTAATCCAAGGGTTGTTACTGAGTCTCTGGGTGTCCTGGTCTTCAGCTCTCTCTTCTGAGAGAGAATACCTGTGTGCAGTTTCTTGAGGTCTTGTGCAGCTGGGGCTGGGGACACAGGGCTGCATCTCCACTCCTGGATAACTTTGCAGCAAGACTTGTGTTGCATGTGCCATCCAGTGCATCGGTCAGGCAACCTGCTGGCTGCTAGGTAGTTAGAAAACACCTTGCAGGGGGGTTAGGAACCTTCTGTTCCCCCTCATTGCCAGCTGTCATCTCAACCTGGAGTGGCTTTCTTGATGTCTCTTGCACACTTACTTGCAGCCTGCAGGGGAGACCTGACTCTGGCAAGAGCCCTGTTAGAAAGAGGCTGGCAGAATTGCCCTTGCTGGTGTGACAGTAGTGCATCAGCCACGTAGGGGTTAGGTGAGCTCCAAAGCCTCTGCCAAACTAGATGCTTTGGCCGTGGCTGCAACTCTTCCTTTGCTCAACTGACCTGAGACCTTGCTCCAAGAAAGTCTGCCTGTCCTTGGCCAAGGGTTCCTCTTAGTGGGAAAGTGCCATGCATGGGGGTTGGAGCTGGTCTGGGAATACTGTTTTTTCCCTCTGGCCCTGGAGTGGGGTGTGTGCTTGGGAAGGGAGCATCTAGGCAGGCTTGTTCAGCCAAGGGGACAACCTTGCCAGGATGGTCTGGCAAGGGGAAGAGCTCACGCTGGGCTCTAGGGGTTTTTCTGCCTCTTTTCTACCCATCTTAAAGCGAAGTCCATCATTCTGCTGGTGCCCAGAGCCCTGAACGTACCTGCTGCTCTTGATGCCTGTCTGCACTGGGGTTGTCCTCTCCTCCCACCAGCTGGGGAGAGAGGAGAGGGGGGGATGGCTGCCATGTTTCAGCTCCCTTTGCAAACAGCAGCAGGACCAAGCTCTGCTAGCTGCTCCTCCCGCTGGATCTGTGCTCACTCAAGTGGCACAGACTCATCTCCTGCTGCTCTCAGGCATGAAGCTGCTAGCTCAGCCCAGCCTGACGTACCGGTCTTGCAGACCAAATGGGAGCATCTGGATGTCTGATGCTATTCTACTGGATGTTGTCAGCTTGCTGCATCTACTGACAGGCTGGAAAGTGTCTGCTCAGTTACTGTTCCCATGTCTGCTTGTTGGCTTCCCATGTCTGCTCATTGGGTCCCCATCTAGCAGTCCTTCGTTGGCAAGGAGCAGGCCTGAGCAGTAGATGTGGCAGCAATGACCTGCCAGGGAAGCCTCCAAGTCTTGCTGGTTTGCAGCTCTACCACGTTCTTCCCATGATGTGGTCTGCCTGGAGCCTCTTCTGATGGCTGGGTTGTGGCTTAGGAAACTTCACGGGTCTCTTCTGTGATGGATGAGCCGGTTCTTACACTGTGCCTGTCACATAGAAGTTGTCTGGTTTAAATGTGTGGTCTTGAGATGCCTCCTTCTGCTGGCTGAGGACAGAGCAGCCACCACCTTGGGGTGCTGCATGCCTGAGATGAGCCTCCTCTGCCCTGCCTAAACCTGAACGGGGGGGGGAAGATGTAAACTTGATGTGTGGGGGAGTGGGAGCATGCTGGGGGGGAACAGCCCCTCCTCGCGCACACTTCTGCAGCGGTAAACTTCACGGATAGCTTGGTGGTGAGGAGCTTTCCTAGCTTGAACGGTGGTGTTCTGTGTGTTCTAGTGAGCTGGGGCCAGGCATGGGTGTGAACTTGGGGGCCATCTTCTGGTTATGCCAATAGGCAGAAAGTACTCGATGTTGAGGCAAGCCCTGAGATGGGGTGCTAGCTTCCTTACTTAGACACGTGGGATCCTGCCGTGTTCCTTAAGGGAGGACCTGGCTGGGTCCCAGTGCCTGGTGAGCCTGAGCCTATCCTTGCGTGAGCCACCAGAGCTGGCCAGTGTGGGGCCGGCACGCCGGGTATTGCTGGCACAGTGCAGCCCCAGGTTGGGATGCTACTCGAGTAGTATTTGGGGCTCACCTTGGAGCCTCCTTTCCCATGCTGGAGACATCTCTACTCAGTTTACCTCGTACGTGGCCTGAAGGAGCTGAAGGTTTGGGCTCTGGTTGAGAGAGATAATCCCAGATCATGGACCTCTGGCGTGGCTTTCTTTTTCCAGATGCGCTGGTATCCTCCCTCCGAAGCTACCCAGCAAGGATGGAAGTCTCGTCAGTTTTGTTAGTTCATTAGTAAGTAATTAATCACTCTTGAAGCCGGGTCCTTGTCTTGCTCGTTCCTGGGCTCCTTGGACTCTTGTGGGGAGGAGGGGTGGGAGCTCGGGCTCAGCCCCCCGCACCTACCCAAGGATGCAGTTGGGTTACATTGATGGGTGATGGGGCCAAATCCACCCCGGTGGGAGCAGGGAGACCCACCAAGCCCTGGGGTGGGGAAAGGCCTGTGGGTGCCACTCGGGGAGCGGATCCAGCCAGCCCCGCTCACTGCCGCTCCTCTCCCGCAGCGTCTCTCCTCGGCTTTTGGTCCCCCT